TCGCTCAGCCAGTGAGCGGGAACCGGTCTGTATGTGGGATCCGAACCCTCGGCGGGAGCACTGCCACGCTCCCAAGCAGCGCACTGTAGCAGTGCACCACCAAGCCGGCCCGACTTGTCATTATTTTGACAGACACACACTATCTTTCCTTTCCACATGGCTAATGATGAAAAACGGGAAATCCTCAGAGAGGGTAGGGTGGAGTGGTAGAATGACAAAGTTTCCATCTCCAAATATGTTAAAAAGCAGAATCTCAGACCTAAGACTAAAACAATTTAAGAAATCTAAAGCTATTACAAGTCTTCAGAATTTTTAAAATAATATCTCTCTTTAAAGAATATTACAAATGTTAGAAATATTACAACTGTTTCAAGTGCTTGAAAAACAAAAGTATTCTATAGTTGAAAGGAAACATAATTTCCTCCATGGGAATGATTCCTAAATAAAGAAAACTCTTTATTCATGTGACTCTTCAAGGTCCTAAACTGGAGAGAATGTTACATACCAGTATCAAGATATATATAAAGTTAGAATTTCTCAACAAGAATATTCCTTTTGGAGACCATTTAAATCTTATAAGGGCTTTAAAAACAACAACAACAACAACAACAACAACAAAACCTGAAAATTGCCAGACTATCAACTACACCTCCTCAAATAACTAAAATAAATTTGCTAGGACTAATTTGTAAGAACCAAACAATGTATTTTCTTTCTTATCGAACTAAAATGGTGCGAACAGACAGCCATCTACTTTTAAATACAAAAGAAAATGCTATATTTCTACACATCGCTCACAAAAAACAAGCAACATCCAGTAACAACACCCAATTTGATCTTATTTATTTATTTATTTATTTTTAAAAAGATGACTGGTAAGGGGATCTCAACCCTTGGCTTGGTGTTGTCAGCACCACGCTCAGCCAGTGAGCGAACCGGCCATCCCTATATAGGATCCGAACCCGTGGCCTTGGTCTTATCAGCACCGCACTCTACCGAGTGAGCCACGGGCCGACCTCCAATTTGATCTTCTAATACTCCACACCCTTGCCTGTGCCATTCCAGGTCCATAGTGACTAGATTTTACAGTGGGTGGTTGTTTATTAACCAGGTAATTTAAAATTTCTTTATACCATAAAGGTTGGGAAAGGGTCATGTTTCTTGTATTAAATTACACTGACTATTAATTAGGCCTTCAGGCTAATTTTAACACTAAAAAAATTAAAGTAGTTGTAACACACTGCAGCTAAAGTAGTATTTAGGTAAGTTTATTAGAGCACCGGGGTCAAGATAGGAACAACGATGGGTCTGATTGATCCCCATCAGCTGGCTTCAAGGTTATCTTTCAGTTTCATCAGCTCTGAACCAGAGATGGTTCTGTGCAAATCACCACCCCGCTTGCAGAAACAACTTAAAGCACATACCTAGACAGTATGTCAGTAGCCTTATATAAAAATTGCCACATTTCCTTTTAAATCTCCCTAAACCACCATACACAAGTGTTACATTTTTGTCCTACTCAGTGTAATTCTCACCTGGCACTTAAAAACCCTTCTGAATTTTGCTAAAAGATTTGATCTTTCCCTTGATAAGAAATACCATACTATGGAGAAGCACATTTACAAAAGATTCGGCCATACCTGAAATTAATTCTGAAAATCACTCTACAGCAGCAGGTACTCTACCTTCACAGAGTTCAATCTTCCTGTAGGTCTTCAAGTTTTCCCTACTTAATGTCAATGGATTTAGTAGGTAAAGACTCACACAGTGCCTAGACACACTGTTGACATGCACATGTAAATAACTGTAACAATGACACCCCAGGAAATGACTGAGCACTCTATTCATCTTCTCATCCTCACTAAACAAGCATGGGCTCAGTGTTAACACAGTCAATACAAAGAGGAAGAGAGAACTCTCTTCCTGCATAGCAACTCCTCAATTTGAATATCACAACACTTCAGGAAAAGGAGTGTTTAATTTACCCCATAGAATCAGACTCTCGGGGTAGGAAAGCATCTCAAACATCACATGGCAATCCTATAGATATGTGCTGCTCGACAAGGTAGTCATTAGCTACATGTGACTACTGAGTACTTGAAATGTGGCTAGTCCAAATTGAGACATGTTGTAATGTAAGATACACACCAGATATGACAGATTTAGTATAAAATAACGTAAAATATTTCATTAACTTTTAAAATTGATTACATGTTGAAATGCTATATATATATAGCATTAAATAAAATACATTATTAAGATTATTTCACCTGTTTCTACTTTGTTAATATGACTACTAGAAAAGTTTAAATTACTTCTGTGGTTTGCATTATATTTCTATTGAACGGTGCTGCTTTGGACCTACAGCATTAATTATGACAGCAAACAAGAATTCTCACTTGGCATTTCCCAATTACAGATGTCAATTAAAAGGAGAAGTATTTTCCTTTCTCTACCAATTTAATTGAGACAACTTAATAAGAAAAATAACAATCTTTTAAAAGATTGTAAAAATAATCAGCAGAATCGCTTTGTCACGTCACCATTTTAAAGAAAGATTACTTCAAAAAGGGAAAAAAGGCACAGGATGCAAAACCACACCTCTTAAGAAAATAAGATGGGAAATACACTAACCAAGTTTTTCTCATAAAGTAGGTCTAAATGCTGACTATGAGGTTCATCTCTAAAGTGAAATGGACATTTCTTTCATTTCTTGCACCTGAGACCCCAGCAAAATTAAATTTATAAAATTCCACCTCCTTACTATTCAAGTACCTTCAACCACAAACAAGTGAACCATTAACTCTATAGAAAGGGAAATACTTATTATAACCTAATTCTCTTTCCCAAAACCAAAAGAAAATACCACCACTCAAAAGCAAAATAAAAAATTACATCATTTTCTCTGGGACTGAGTAGGTTAACTTTGGTCCACAGACATTACGAAATAAAGTGTATCTTAAATAAATATTTTCTTTTACCACAATGTTTTTTAAAAAGTATACTTTAAAAGTGAGAAATTCAATGACACATTCCTATGAGTGAACCATGTCCTTCCTCTACCATAAGACACCATTTTGCTTTATTTGATTTTAAGATATTTATGCCTTACGGCTCTGGGGGAGGAGGGATCCAGTGTATTTCTGAATTTATAAAAATGTTTTTTAAGGGTAGAGAAGGTGACAGCTCAGTAAAGCATGGGGGAAAGGCTTTCTCAGGAGTTCAGAGGAGGCAAAAGCCACTTCCAGAAAATTGTCAATGAAGAAACTGTATATATAGAAAAAAAGGAATTTAAGGAAATAAAGATCAAAGAGCGAGTTCGCAGGGCATCCCCAACAGTTAATTACATAATTTTTATGGTGTTCTGACAAATTTATCGTCCCCCAAAGGCCATACTTGGCTGCCAATTCTTTATCCATCTGAGCTTCATCAGGTGAGTATAATCTTCAGACTATTTGCTCAGTGATACATTCCTTAGAAATCTTTTCCTTGTGAATTTAAAAGCCGACCTCGATTACGCTCCCAGCAGAGTAAGCAGAAAGGAATGTACATGTTTTCGAGCACTAAGTTGATTGGCTGCATTTTCCTGCTTTGGTGGAAAGGATAATGGGTAAAGCTCTTCCTGAGCATGACCCTCAAAGACTGAAATCATTCAAAGAATCGAGTCTTCTAACATTGCCCCATAGGTAAAAAGACTGCCAGAATTTCCATTAGCGCATCCTATTTTTAGAATCTTTGGATTTGGTCTTTTAAATTGCATTCCACAGCACAACGTGTTTGACTAAGTTTATACAGGGAATAAAATAGACATCCTAAGGTCTTGACCTTTTTAACCTCAGAAAGGAACGTTAAGCTTTTAAGTCTTTATTTTTTTTCTCGTCTTTCTAACACTCAAATTCAAAATGAAAATTAAGGTAAGACATTAGCTCAGAGGGAGCAACTGAGGGGAGCCACTAGGCGGTTCTTGATAAGCAAAGTGGGGGCGCGGGAGAGGACAGGTATGGCGGGAACATGAGGACCACCCCCAAGGGGGGACAGACCGGGCTGGGGGCAGCAGCACAGAAAGGAAGAGAAGCACAGTGGAAGCCGGCGAGGAACGACTTCTGGCGACAGTCCCTCAGGATGCGTAGGAACAGGGGACCTGCGGTGGCTGGAGGCGACAGGGGAAAACAGGCGACCGGAGAGGGGGCGCAGGTGAGGGAACCGGGCTACCCCTCGCCCGGAGGGCAGAGGCGGCGCTGCTGGGGAGGAGGCGCAGGGGGAGGAGCGAGGGGCTCCCGAAAGGCTTCCCATCCCCGCCGCGAGCCGGCGGGTCCCCTGCAGCCCGCTCTTCCCCTCCTCACCTGGGAATGGCAGGCGAAAGGCAGGTTACCGCGGGCCCCCGGGTCCGTCTCCAGCCCCACCGGCTGACATGGCGGCCGACTTGCTGTCACTGAGCTGCTCGGGTCTCCCGCGGCTCCGGTGGAGGAGACACCTCTTGCTTTTCCGCCCCGCCTCCCTCTGCGCACCCTTCCCCGCTGGCCGGCTGGCGGCAGGCGACCCGCCACCGCGGAGCATAGAGCGCGAGCGGCTAGAGAGGAAGGCGGACAACCATAGAGTACGTGTCCGAACGCAAGCCGGATAGCCCGTCTCCCTCCTCCTCGGTCCACTCATAAAGCTCAGCGGCTGAGCCCGGACGGAAGCGGAAGTGAGGGAGAGCGGCCTGAAGGGTTGGTCGTACGCATGCGCAATGTGTATGTTTACTTCCGCCTGACCTGATCGGCCTGCGGGTAGAGGTAGCACGTGGAATGGTACAAACCTCAGCGGCTGAGCCCGGACGGAAGCGGAAGTGAGGGAGAGCGGCCTGAAGGGTCGGTTGTACGCATGCGCAGTGTGTATGTTTACTTCCGCCTGACCTGATCGGCCTGCGGGTAGAGGTAGCACGTGGAATGGTTTGCCAGGGATTCGCGGAAGTAGCGACCCTGGTGAGCATTGGAGCCAACCTTGGAGGCAACGATGTGGGTCACAGTGGCGGCGCTTCCTCCGCGGCTGTCGCTGTCAGCCTTGGCGGGCACTGGTCGCTTTTGCATTCTGGGGTCCGGAGCGGCGACGCGGAAAGACTTGCCGGCGGTTCCTCGCCGTGGCTGGTCTGACTCCTGCCCGCAGCTGATGCCCCATCCGGATTTAGGGGAGTCCTCCTCCTGGGTGTCCAAGAGCAGCTTAGAGCCCAAGCGTTACATAACCAGTCGGAGACTGGCTGAGACCGTGGCGCAGATCCTGCGGGGGAAACGAAAAAAACCTCACCACCTATTCCTGGAGTGCAATCCAGGTGAGTCCAGCTGGATTGCGTTTTTTGGGTGTTCATCACTTCTGCAAACTTTTATTGACCTCTCGTGGGGTGGTGTTTAAGACAACAGCCCTTTCCTTCAAGCAGCTTTCCTGGAGAGATTGCCCACACCGTGCGCGGATGGTTTGTATTAATAATGGCACCACCAGATATTTCTATAGCAGTTTACCCTGTACACAATATTTTGGTAAGACACGTTCTTAGATTTCACAGTCTTCCCAAAATTGTTGCAAGTACTCTCCCAAAAAATAAATTTATCTTACCCTTCCTTGCATCTCCTACAGACTATAGCAGGATGCTGAGAACACAAGATTCATAGACTTTTTGAATAATAATTTTTTAAAACACCATTTTCTGTCATGGAGAGTCGTTTTTGTTTAGGCTTGACAATAATATCTTTGATGATTGAAGGCTCCGGAGAATTCATGAGTAAGTGGTAGGCTAGAGGCGATCTTTATTGTTAGTTTTTTTCCTAGATTTTTTCCTTCTAAAAGCCAGTGAAGCACTGTGATTTAGAGTGCAAGTTTTGCAGTCACTGACAGAATGGATTCTAAGCCAAGCTGCACCACTTACCAATTATGATGTTGGTGTCAAATGACTATGTCTAATCTTAACTTTCCTTATAACTATGTAAAAAGAAGAGTAATATCTACTTTGGAGATGTTGTGAGGATTAAAATTAGATAATACATGTATGATATCTATTAAATTTTGATATTGAAAGAGATTATGTTGTTTCTTTTGAACATAAACTTTTCATTCTGTTAATATGCTAGGTCCTGGAATCCTGACTCAGGCATTACTTGAAACTGGTGCCAAAGTGGTTGCCCTTGAAAGCGACAGAACTTTTATTCCACATTTGGAGGTATATTTTTGATTTCTGAAAGTAATTTATTGTTCAATCAGCTACCTTTGAGTGGTTTAGGGAAGCAGAATTAAGCACACAATTTATTTTTATAGAATCTCTTTTAGGGGCCATGTCTTAATAGTAACTAGAACACCGTAAGTATTCAGTGCTTGTTGAATGACTAAAGGATTGGAAGTTCTGAGATTTGTTTTCTAGTCCTAGCTCTAGAACAGGCTAGTTGGGTGACTTTGCATAGAGTACATAAGTGGTATCACTAGCCTTATTTCCTCATCTCTAGTCGGCTGTGCTGTGTCCTGCCTTCTGTGAGCTTAGAATCTAATTGGAGTGAGTGCCAAGATTATGTAAACTCTGGATTTAGGGTTTCAGAAGCAAAAAGGGTTTGGTATAATCAGATACAATTTCATAGAGTGAAGGCATTATTATCTGAATGCATTTTTCAATGATTCTGCTTCTTACATAGCGGACAAATTCACATAACAGTGAAGAAGTGGAAATTCCTTGCATCATTAGCCAGCCTCTTTTTTCTTTTTCGCCCTCCTTTATACATCTCTAGATGCAATTTAGGGAACTTCTACTTCCCTATGCCAACTTCTGGATGTAGAATGGCTTTAGGTAAAAGTGCAGGATGACCACAAAAAATTGTGAAAATGTCTGTCAAATCCAATTTAATTAAAAAAATAAAACTATGAGCATTAGATTATTGTTATGCTACAACTGACTGCTTTGAAAAGAATCCAAGGTTTTAGCCAGGTTATTTATTTATTTGGGGGGCAGCTGTCCAGTCAGGGGATCCGAACCCTTGACGTTGGTGTCATCAACACCACACTCTAACCATCTGAGCTATCTGGTCAGCCTCAGCCAGCTTATTTAATTGATGCTAAATCTGCTGGACTTGCAAAACTTTGAAGGAAAAAAAACCACATGAAATTGTTCAAAGATTTAAGGTCATGAAATGTGATTTAGTAAACATAGCCCTCTGTAATTTCAACTTGGAAATTAAAAACAAAAAGAAAGCTCTCAGTTCGAAAAAAAAGCCTACATTTGAAGGTTAATCTATGCACTTACAAAATAATTAAGATGGATTAAAATGTCTTTGTTTCTAAAGTTTGTTATCCTGTGACACAGTAGTTGCTTATAAAATCCTCAAGATAACAGTTTTAATTTAAAACAATTGTTTCAATGGAAAAAGGATTGGGGCTGGAAATTTTTTGACACAATAATTCTTACAGGAATATCAGTAATAAAATGTTTCTGAAGCTATAAATGTAAGCTAAATGTATGAACATCGTTGACTCAATCCAGTCTTTGATTTGAACTAGTTTTTTTGCTACAGTTAAGGCTTATATTTTCTTATCATTGGCACCAACACTAACTTAAGCACAGCCCTTAGTACATATTCTTGCACTTTTATTAACCATCCTATGATAAAGTAAAACGCCATTTAAAATTTTGTGTGAATTCATCCATTTGCCAGAATAAAAGAGAAGTAATGTGTAAATAGAACCTTTGCACCCCTAAATATAGGTCTTAAAGTGGTACTCTTAGCAAACAGTGTTTCTTCTAGCCGCCTATAGGTTCTCAGCTTTGCTCCTAAAAATAGAAAGTATATTCAAGGATAGTACTTGACTCTGGATATTTATCTAACTTTAGATTCCTTCCATTTCCCTCCTGAAATTCCTGGAACTCCACAGTAACATTGTTTAAGGCAGGAACAGTTTATTTTCCTATCTGGATGTGGTTAGACATATACATGTTACAAACTATGTTCCATGACAGTAAATCATGGTATATCCATTTCGTGAAAAGATTGTTGGAGAAATAGCTGTGTATGTTCAGTTGAAGAGACATCAGCTTTTATGATAAGCCCTGTTTTATTTCAGCAGGGATAGAGCACAGTATTTTCAAATCAGAATGAATCTCAGTCCTAGCACTTGACTAGCTTTAATACCCTGGGCAAGTAATTTAAACTGTGTGAACCTTGATTTTTCTCATATGTAAAATAAGACATGTTAATACCCACCTGTACAGGATCTTGATGATATTTAAATGAAATAAACTTAAAGTGCCTAACTAAATGGCTAGTAGAAACTCAAGGGTTACTTTCTTTTCCTTTGTCCCTTTTGCTTCTTGTTTTCGAATCCTAAATGCAGTCTAGTTGAATTTTAAAATGTGATCTCACTATTGTATGAGTAGAATTATTTATTTAGGTGCTTTTTGGCTGTTATGTTTGAATAGTTGAATGGTAAGTGACAGGTACTAAAGCAAAAATGTATAAGGCCCTCTCAGGATACAAGTGTAACAAAGTAATGAAGTGTACCTTTAGTAATATTTCTATCAAACCAAAATTCATTAGCTTTCCTTAATTACAAACATTAGAATGTCTTTTTGATACCATCTGAAATTATCTTATTGCTATACATGTTGAGTTATTTTTAGAGTTTAAAGATAATCATATGCATTATATGAACACTCTTTTCTTTTAGTTTCCATGACACCACACTCTTCTGGATTTTCTCCTTACTTCTTCTGCTTCCTCGGGTTCTTGTTGTTAGACTTTGGAGTTCTGCCATCCTCAGGCCTAGTCCTCTGTATTTCTCTCTAGGGATCTACACTGCTGGCTTTAATTACTTTCAGCAAGCCAAATTCTCACAGATTTATATATTCAACGTGGACCACTCCACTGAGCTCCTTATTCAGATACACAACTCCCTACCTGGCATCTCCACTTGGATCACCAAGTAGGCTTCTCAAAGTTAATGTGACCACATGTATATGATTTCCACCCCCCAGTCTTTTTCTTCCTCTTTTAAAAATGTACCCTTAAAAGCGATCATTAAAATATAGTATATTTAGAAATGAATAATATTTATAGGTTGAACTCAAGTGCTTAAGAAAAACTAGGTTTTTGAATTTCTATCTTTAAATTGAAAAATCATTTTAAACCTTAATAAATACCAGTAGAATTTTCTGTGCATGAAAACTCAATGTGCACATCAAAAACATATTGCTCTCTTCTAATCAATATTTTGTAACTTCAAATTAATTTTATCACGTCAGTAGCTAATTCTTGCTCTTACTAAAGTCTCTAGCGCTGCTGTAAGATCAGCAAACAAGAGCAGTTGAAGCAATTGAGGAATATAGTACCTCTTCCAGCGGACAAGGCATATAGTTGCCCTGTCTTCAGAAAAAGTAAATGTGAACTTAAGCAGGGAGATGGAGAGTGGGCGAAGTTCACTTGGCTGGTGACTGACTAGACTCCCCTAGAAGAAGAGAGATACTCTCTTGAGTCCATCTACCTTTCACTTTAATAGTTTAATTGTGTTTCTCTACTGTGAAACACCTTTTCATTTCTTTTTCCCGTGACCGTGGCAGATGGCTCACAGCTCTCTGCTGGAGCCCGCTGTGGTCTCAGTCTCGGCCCAGTGCTCCAGGTGGCCACTGCTAAGCAACTAGAGACTATTGTAACCAACCGAAGCCATTACGATAAAGTAAAGAAAGTAGAAGGACGAGTTCGAATTTGTTGAAGGTGATTTGGGGTTTTGGGGGCTTTTTCTTCATAATATTGTCACAATTTAACCACTTTTTAGCTCTTAATCGATTTTTCTTTCCTCTTAAATTTTAGGGAATTTTAGTAATATTTTTTTTATGTTTTTTATTGTAGTCGTAATTTTTTGTAAGATCTTTGAATTACTTTTTATTATTATATTTTATTCTTATTTTTTGAATTGTTACAATGTTAGTATAATGCCAAAATTTCTTGAAGTGTTATCTCTCTCTCTTTAGACCTTAGGAAAAAATGTGGATGGAAATCTAGAAGTGGTCCACTGTGACTTCTTTAAATTGGATCCTAGAAGTGTGGGACTAGTAAAACCACCCACTATGATTTCACATGTGCTTTTTCAGAATTTGGGAATAAAGGCACTTCCATGGTCAACAGGTAATTTTTGTCATTCACTAAAGCAAATGCCTTATAATTTACCAGCTTTTGTTAGCAGTATTCCTGGTTTGTTGATGAGATTTGTGTACAGTTTCTATCATACAATTTACAAGCAGATGCTCTCAAGTTGAATATGGCATTCCCCTAACCTGGACACAACTAGTTTATTTCCCCAAAGACCAAGTTCCATATCAAGGATAGATGCTGATGTTTAGTTTTAATTGAAATAAACTTAATATAGTTTGTAAATTAAGTTTTCTTCAGTATAATATGGTCATAGGAAAAAGAACTTTATTAAAATATTTTTGCTTGTATTCCTAACAGGTATCCCTTTAAAAGTAATTGGAATCTTCCCAATTAAAAATGAAAGAAGGGCACTTTGGAAACTTTTATATGACCTGTATTCCTGTAGTTCTATATATAGATATGGACGAGTAGAACTAAATATGTTTATTAGTGAAAAAGGATACAAGGTAGGTTATTAACAAGGACCCGCTTTTTGTTTTGAAACAGTTCTGTGATTTTTCTCTGAGTAGTTTTAATCTGTGCAACTTTACTTTAGGGCTTATGACATTTGAGAGTACTAAGATTGTTTTTAAATTTCTGTAGTGCAATCTTAAATTCAGGTTTTTGGGTTTGTTTTTTTTTTAAGTTTTATTTAAAAGTTGTACTGTATACATGACCTAAAATTTACCAATTTAACTATTTCTACGTGTACAGTTCAGTGACATTAAGTACATTCACATTGTACAATCATTATCACCATCCATCTCCAAAACTTTTTTATTATCCCTTATTGAAACTTTGCATCCATTAAACACTAACTCCCCCTTCCCCTGTCCCCCCAGCTTTTTGTAACCATTGTACTACCTTCTCTATAAATTTGATTGTTTTAGATACCCACATAAGTGGAATCATACAATATTTGTACATCAGTGTCTAGCTTACTTCATGTAGCATTTATCCTCAAGGTTCATCCATGTTGTAGCATGTCAGAATTTAATTCCTTTAAAAGGTACTCATGTATACACCATAGTTTGTGTATCCATTCATCCGTCAGTGCACACTTGGTTGCTTCCACGTTTTGACTTTTGTGAATAATGCTTCTGTGAACATGAGCTTACTAATTTCTCTTCACGTCCCTGCTTTCAGTTTTTTGGGGTGTATATCCAGAAGTGGAATAACTAGATCATGTGCTAATTTCATTTTTAATTTTTTAATGAACTTCCATAGTGTTATCCATAGTGGATACACCATTTTACCTTCCCACCAACAATATACAAGGGTTCCAATTTCTCCACATCCTTGCCAGCTCTTGTTTTGTTTTTTTGATGATATCTGTTCTATGGTGTGAAGTGGTATTTTTATAGTGGTTTTAATTTGCATTTTCCTAATGATTAGTCATGTAGAACATCTTTTCATGTACTTATTGGCCATTTATATATCTTCTTGGGAGAAATGTCAATTCAGGTCTTTTGCCCATTTTTTATTTGGGTTTTTTTTGTTGTTGTTGTTACTGAGTTTTAAGAGTTCTTTATATATTCTAGTTATTAATCCCTTATCAGATACATGATTTACAGATGTTTTCTCCCATTCAGTGGGTTGCCTTTTTACCCTTTTGATAGTCTTTTGATGCCCCAAATTTTTAATTTTGATGTAGTCAAATTTGTTGGTTTTTTTCTTTTGTTGCCTGTGCCTTTGGTATCATCTCTAGGAAATTATTGCCAGTCCAATGTCATGAAACTTTTTCTGTGTTTTCTTCCAAGAGTTTTATAGTTTTAGCTTTCATGTTTAGGTCTTTGATCCATTTTGATTTAATTTTTGTATATGGTATTTTGTATATGATATTTTGTATATGGTTTCAGGTAAGGGTCCAACTTTATTCTTTTGCATGTAGATTTCTAGTTTTCCCAACACCATTTGTTGAAAAGACTGTCCTGGGCCCCCTTAAATGATTTTGGCACCATACAAAATCATTTAACCGTATGTGTCAAAAATCATTCAACCATATGTGTGTTGATCTGTTATTTGGTCTCTCTGTTGTATTCCCTTGGTCTATATATTTGTCCTTTTGCCAATACCACACTGTGTTGTTACAGTAGCTTTATTGTAAGTTTTAAAATCAGGAGCTAAGAGTCCTCCAAATTTGTTCTTTTTTTAAAGATTGTTTAGGTGATTCTGGGTCCCTTGAGATTACATATGAATTTTAGTATGGATTTTTTATTTCTGCAAAAAACACTGGGATTTTGATAGGGATTGCGTTTTATCTATAGATCACTTTGGGTAGTAGTGATATCCTAATATTAAATCATCCAACCAAGGACACAGGATGTCTTTCCATTTATTTGTGTCTCTAATTTCTTTTAGCAATGTTTATAGCTTTCAGTGTACAAGTCTTTCACTTCCTTGTTTAGGTTAGTTGTTTTTAATGCTATCATAAATTGAATTGTTTTTTAAGTTTCCTTTTCCAATTGTCCATTGCTGGTATATAAAAATACAACTGATTTTTGTGGAGTGATTTTGTACCCTGCAACTTTGCTGAATTTGTTTTATTAGTTCTAACGGGGTTTTCATGTGTGGAATCTTTAGTGTTTTAGACTCTATTTTTTATTCTCTGTAATGGAAGGGCCTCCTGAAGTCCTAGATTGCTGTGAGAGTAATGTTTCTTTTCTGCCTAGAATGCTTGATGTTAATCTGTTCAATATAACAGAAAAGTTTATTTGTGTGTGAGAGAGCAATGGATTAAGATAGTGGGGCAGGAAATGAAGGGATGATTTATTCACCCAGACTCAGATAGTGAATAAATATTGACTAGCCATGGAAGGAGAGCAGGGGGTGCAGAATCTTGAGGCTGTACATATGGTATATAAATGAAAGAATGAAAGGACGAGATATAGGAAATGCTTCATCAGATTTTATCTTGCTACTAGGAAAATATTCCAATGGCCTGTGCTTCCTTTTTCCATGGGCCAAAGTCACATGTGGTTTCCTCTCTCTGTGCTGCCCTTTCATTCACTAAAGTAGCCTCTCACTCTTGAAGTGTCAGCCTTGACAATTCTTGACTCAAAATTTAATAGCTCACCTGGTACATATTTTTAACACACCTCTGCTTCTCCGCAGTACATACCATAGTTTAATTAATTATTCATGTTAGTAGCTAATGTTTTTCTACCCTGCTATGTTGTAGGATCTGTACGGCAGGGATTGTTCAAGTTCTGTTTGCTTACCTAACTGAATGATCAACTATTATACATTTTCATTTCAATTTTTCTTTTATGAGATTTTGCTCTGATAGACCATCTGGTTGAAGGAAATCAGTCTCAAATACAGTATATTTTAAGTATATGTGATGGTATGTTTTCAATGTGAGCATTTATAAAGACTTTCTTTGAAACAGCAATAGTTAAGATTTTGCATATAATATTAATTTTCTTTACTTAAATTTCTAGATGCTATTAAGATATTGATATTAAGACCCAATATTTGATTTATGATTGATTATAGTTGTACATGTGTAATTTTTATTTTCCTTCTATTAGAAACTAACGGCAAATCCCAGAAATCCAAACTTGTATCATGTATTAAGTGTGCTCTGGCAAGTAGGTTGTGAGATTAAGCTCCTGCATGTGGTAAGTATAATCCTTCTAAATTTCGAGGGAGTAAATGGAGATAGTTTATTAATTTTAATAATAATTTAATTATTTAATAATTAATTTTTATTATATTATTGTTATTTTAATATATTATTTATATATTTTTATATATTATTTTAATATATTATTATTAATTATTAATTTTATTATTTTTCCCAACTGTTAGAGGTAATAGGGCAAGATAACATCATGGTGATGTTTTATGTCACAAATATTTATATTATTCTCTTGTTATAAAAATAATATATGCTGGGCCGGCCCATGGCTCACTTGGGAGAGTGCGGTGCTGATAACACCAAGGCCACGGGTTTGGATCCTATATAGGGATGGCCGGTTAGCTCACTTGGGAGAGCGTGGTGCTGACAACACCAAGTCAAGGGTTGGGATCCCCTTACCGGTCATCTTTTAAAAAAAAAGGCATTTTCACATTGTAAAAATATGAAACTTTAAAAAAAAAGGCAAAAAGAAAGAAAATAATTTTTTTTAAAAAACCACCACTACAGTTCTACCACCCAGGTGTCATTATTGACATTAGTGGTGGATTTTCAGTCTTTTATTTTTCCTGTGTTTTTCTTTTTCTTTATATAGTGAAGATTATGTTGTTGTGTATCTTGTTTTTTTCACCTAATGCCTGACGTTAATTGTAAGCTTTTTCCTTTGTCACTGAACATTTTTCTCAAGTTTTTATGGCTACTTAATTGTTCATTATAGAGCATTTCCCTTTTTAGTTTATTTCCTTATGGAAGAACAGGTTTGTCTAATAGAAATATAATGTCAGCCATATATATAATTTAATATTTTTTAGAAATTATAAACCATATTATAAAGTGGAAAAAAGAAGCAGGTAAAATTAATATTATATTTTATTTACCCTGTCAATTTGATATACTGTCATTTCAGTGTATAATCAGTATTTTAAAATTAGTTATTACATAATTTACATTTTTTGTTTGTACTAAGTCTTTGAAGTACAATGTGTATTATACACTTCTAGCGCATCCCAGTTCAGACTAAACATATTTCAAATGTTCAATAGCCATATGTGGCTAGCAGCTACTGTATTTGATAACAGAGAGCTAGAGTATAAGAAAAAAATGATAAATACTATTTTTTGTATACCATAATTTGCTCATTCTCTTATTTATTGTAGTAGACTGAAGTATGTATCAAGTAGTTTTTATAGAATATTAGTTATATATTTTATGAGCCCCTGTTCTTCCAAGGATGTATGTGTTTGATTTTTAAATTTTCGCTATGTGTGTCTCCATGTGTGCACTTCATAGCTCTTGTCTACATTGAGCCTTTCAGTCTGCATATTTAGTTGCTTTTTTAGCTCTGGAATGTTATCTCATTTGATTTTAGCTTTTGTTCCAATTCTTTTCTTTTTTTTCCCAAAAACATTTGTGGTTCTTTGGTTGGATCTTTGGTCCTTGTTTTTTGTATCTATCATGCTGTCATCGTTTTTCTGTTGTATTCCCAGAATCTTTTCACACTTCGAGAGCAGGATGCTTGCTGTCTGCACTGGATATTGTAAACCTGCTATTATAGTTCTTGGTTCCTCTAAAGTCCTTCCTTACCTCACTGATCTGGTCTCATTCTGTTGCTTTCATCTCTGCCTCTTCTGTGCTCATGGCTTTTAGCTAGTTTCTTCGTAGGGGCCTCCTGAGGACTTTAGTTTTCAGAATAATGTTTCCTTCTTCTTTTTAATTAGTATTGGTTTTCAAAGGTCCTGTGTTCAGTTTTGGGATTTATTAACCTCCAGAAAGGAGAGGTCTTTCTGGACCCAACTTTTTTTTTAGCATTTGCTCTCCATACTGTAGGGTAGGTTGTTAAGATCACTTCCCAGAGTCCTCTGCTGTGGCTTTCGAAGGTGAAAGTGCAGTCTCCTCTGCCCCCGCCGCCATACCCTAAACTGCTGGGCTAGACTAAGCATGTGGGAAACTGCAGCTGCCTCTGCTTTGCTCTCTAGTTAGAGTGCCATTCCTAGAACTGCTCAGGAATTTCACAGATGGGCAACAATTGGATTTTTCACTCCACTCCTATTGCCTCTGTAGTTAATAATATTGAATAATAAATTACCATTTTTTTTTTCGTTTTTGTCTTTTTCCGTGTCCGGCAACGGATTGCAACCCTCAGTGTAGCCCCCGTACCGGACCGGGACCGGCAACGGGATCGCAACCCTCGGTGTTGCTCCCGCGCCTCACTCAGCCAGTGAGCGGGAACCGGTCTGTATGTGGGATCCAAACCCTCGGCAGGAGTGCCGCGCTTCCCAAGCGGTGCACTGTAGCAGTGCGCCACCGGGCCGGCCTAAATTACCATTTTTGATGGTAGCCTTTCAAACCTTATTGTTTTAGTCTTTTGCCATACCTATAGGCTTTTTCACTAAGGTATGGCAAAAAAAAAATCCCCAGTGGTGATCTGATAGCTCACAAACTGCTGATTCTGACTAATATGGAAATGTTGGCTGGTAAAAATTATAACATATGCATTTATTTGCATAATTATATTAAGAGTAACTTCTTTATCTAAGTAAGTAAGAGATAGAGTTATTGATATCAGTGTAGACCTTTGATCCTTCTACTCTATCTAAAAAAAATTGAGGAGGGAGATTTGTATTATTCAACTATCGTGTTGTTTTTCTTATACCTACTTAGACTGTGGCCTGGATTTAATTCATTCTCTTGTTTAGGCAAGATTTTTTTTTAAAGCGGTAATAATGTGGAGTGCTTTGACCAAAGAGAAATTTTTTAAAATGTTGTTTTGTTTTTGTTTTTCTTCCCTCAAGGAGCCTTGGTCATCATTTGACATATACACTCAAAATGGGCAACTGGAAAAGCCAAAGCGTAGGGTAAGAATAAATGAATACCTTCCCGTCTTTTTTCCTAAATGGAACATCCTTTATTTTCTTTAAGATTATCTGGTATTCTGCATTTAATATTTAAATTTTAAAATAAAATAACTGGAATATAATAAGATATAATAAAATGTATTACTTTTAGTTAAATTACAAGATATAATAAAATGTATCTCATCACTTCTAATTAAAATATTTTGCGAGAGAATTGTATTTAAAAACTATTCAACAGAGAATGCTAGCATAGTAATAGGCTTAAACAGAGAATCTGACTTCTCTTTTTATCTCTTGAAATGCAGGTACATCTCCAATTTGGAAGATATAATCATTTTAGTCATCTAATTTGATAAACAAAAAAATTATATCTTATTAATCATCACAAATTTGTGATATTGCTATTATATGATTGAACGCACCAAGGTGCATCTTGGTTCTTACCAGGAGTTAGGGCTTTTATATTTGTTTTTTGTGTGGTTCCCCCCCCCTTTCTAAAGAACCAAAGTGATGATATTATAAAGTGGTCCTCCATTTAGTTTATCTCAGGGCTACTTGTAAATTTCTAATACAGTAGCAAAAGTTACAAAAAAAATTTTTGGACCCATTTCAGAAGTTCCACCTTGGAATTAAATGTTAACGATGGCCTAATCCTGACATATCACCTCAGTCTAAAGGTCCCACTTACTTACTACCCTTTTTTTTTTTTGTTACTCATCCCACTAATGGAAAATTATCAATTTAGAAGTGGTCTGATTTTATGGGGGTAGGCTGGTCTGTGGCTCACTTGGGAGAGTGTGGTGCTGATAACACCAAGGCCACGGGTTCAGATCCCCTTACTGGTCATCTTTTTTTAAAAAAAAGAAGAAATGGTCTGATTTTAGAGTGATCAGTCATCATTGTGATTTTAGTTCTCTTTCACTGTTCATAAAGCGTAACTTGTGTAGTCTCAGAAATAGAGTTGAAATAATACATTTTGGCTTGATAACATTAGGGAATTATCCAGATGTCCCCAAAATGAACAATTCTGTGTATAAGACACTTCCTCATTTTTTCAGTGAGAAGATCAAAAGCTAAAATAGTTCTGTAGCCAACTTAAAAATATAAACTTTTAGGGATGATGATGAAATAATCAAATGTTTTTTATGAGAAAATTTTACACATTTCACGTGTCTTTGATATTACTGTGTTCATAATTGCTATAGAAGCACTTCAAGATGGTTAACAATTTTTTAGAGCACATCATCTTCATTTTTATCCAAATTGTTTGAGATTTTCCACTTTTATGAAATTATGAGATTTTTCCATTTTTAAAATATCCAACTAAAAATATCCAATTTTAATTATAATTAAAAAATTAGGGTCTGGTGGTGGTGTGCCTCAAATATAGCAGGGACTTATTACATTTTAATGTCACGTTCAGGATTTGATTTCATCTTACATACAAGTTAATAAGCTGTTAGTTTTTCTTGGATGCTAGCCAAAGACACAGACTCCTGGATCAGAGATAGGACTTCATTTGCCCCCCGTCCCAAGGAGTGATGTGTTATGGCTCAGTTGGATGTCATACACGCAGTAGGTTTGCATTACAGCTAAGGAACACAGAGCCGGAGGAATGTACCTTTTTCATAGCAAGCATTGAGCAAGCCTGTTTTTTGTCCTGGAGAGAGACATTCCCTTGTCTCTGAAGATTGCTCAGTGCAAACAACTCAGAAATGGCCCAGGTAAGGAGTGGTTAGGGCTTTGCATTCTTGGCATGCTCATCAAGAAAATGCAGACACTCAGGGTCTGTAGTGATTGCATCTTCCAACAGGTAGCCTGAAGGAATAAGGGAATGTTAACCTGCTCTGGAAGTGTTTTATGACTAATACAATTTATTTTTCCTTCTGTTCAGCAATCAGAACGAATACAACAAAACCTGTATTTTATTCGAATGGTTCCTCGTAGAACTTTATTTACAGAAAACTTATCACCTATTAACTACAATGTATTTTTTCACATGGTAAAGCACTGTTTTGGGAAGCGCAACGCGAGGCTAGTAGACCATTTACAGTAAGTAAAAAGAATAAAAGCAAGTACAAAAGTAGCAATTTAGTGCAAGAATTATTCTTTCATGTTAGAGTCTGTTTTTCATATCTTGACCAACAGAGTAAGGTACCATGTTTTCACCCATATATTTCTTCAAATTACTTCCTTCTCCCTGGTGTACATTTTGAGAAAAATGTAATTATATTTTTCATATAATCTACTGAGTTCCTTCATTTTCTTTCTTTGAAAACAAACAACCAGTGATGTCTGTAAGCTGTTTTATCTTTGTCAGAATTTAGGCCTGGGTTTAACCTACCAGAAGCACTAGCTGTTCACAGCCAGCTGGGGTGGAGAAAGTCAGCATTGCAGGTGGCGCACCCATCGTCTGCCTGTTGTCATTGTCTGTCTGCTGTGCTTCTGTTTCCTAACCAAAGTAGGATGGATCATTATACCACCCTGGTCCTCTTGCCCTGGACCAAATTTTATGTTTCTACCCAAAGCTTTATAAAAATTATAGCTGTTACTTCCAACTTTGTATCTATATAAGCATAATATTTATGTAGGGCTGATGTGTACATTTGTGTAAGTTGTGCATTACATCATGTAATCAGCAGCCCATAGTCATTCAAAGTATTGTCAGAGGGTGGACAAAATGTTAAAATAATTATTTTAATTAATTTGATCATCATTTAATATGTATAACTCTGAATGAGCTGTTGGCTGGACAATATTTATATAAAAATAAATCTTAAAGGTGGCAATAGACCAGCAAAGTTAGTCTAATATTTTTCATCTTGCTGTCTGTTGTGGTAGCAATTTTGAATGAAAATACAAAGAAAATAGGAAAATAAGGAATAAATATGGTATCCTGTGATGCAACATGTTAAAAATTCCCTTGGAGATCTCTGGTGATTGAAAACATGTGACTAAGATTCTATTTATTATCAAAATATATTGGGAATGTCTTCCGTCAGAATATTTTATTACAGTTTACTTATTATTGTCAGAGACTTATTGATGGCTTCTTGCTAATATATAAGGAGATTTGCTGTCTGATAATTTATTCACCAGTGATTATTATGCAAAAATGTGAAAAATGATTCCCTGTTTAAAAACTGCCAAATAGCAGCTTCTGCTATTTGTACTTATTGACTTACTTGAACTGAAATAGAGTTAAGAATATTTTGCAGAGAGTAAAAGAATGAAGCAGATAGGCAGAAGAATTTTTTTAAGGATGATGATTAAACTAGAATTTTGTTTGAGAATTGGTTAGGATATGTTAAGGGCTAAATCTGTTTTCCTTACAGGTTAGCCAGGAAACTTTAGGAATAAACATAATTAAACATATTATGTGCAAACTCTTAAACCAAATACAATTATATGTAATGTTAGGCATTTTAAATTGGACTTAGAAGCCATGTCTGTAATATTAATTGACAGTCGTTATGAAAAAGTATTAAGCATATTTGTATTCTCTTTTGCAGTTCATTGAGTCCAGTTGATACAGAGGATATACTGATGCAAACAAAGAAAAAAGAAAAAGTGAAAATAACTAATATGTATCCTCGTGACTTTAGGCGCCTTTTTGAAATTATAGAGTGTTCCAAAGATTATACCTGCAAATGGCTATATGATGACAGCATGGAAGATGTAGGGAGGTAGACTGTTAGGACATTAGCTGGAGCAGTTTATTTATTTGGAAATTGACACAAATGTAAAGGAAGTAAGTCTGAATAGCTCACATCCTTTCAACAGAAGGTAACTGTTCTTGTTTTGCACAGACTAGGCAGATCATTTCTTCTGAAGGTGATACCATTGGTATGTTGGATAAAACAGTGGCTGCTATTTTATTCACAACTAAATAAAATGAAACCATCAGTTAATAATGAATTTGATCAGATTGAATCTTTTTGTTTTAAATTCCTATCTACTGCATTCTGGTAGTTATATGGTATTACAAGTTGGAATTTAGTTTACTTTAAAAAATCCTTTTGGCGAACTATCAGCTTAAATATTCCACTTTTTTTTTTTTTTCCTTTTTGTCTTTTTTTTTGTGACCGGCAACGGATCGCAACCCTCAGTGTCGCGCCTGTACCGGACCGGCAACAGGATCGCAACCCTCGATGTTGTGCCCACACCTCGCTCAGCCAGTGAGCGGGAACCGGTCTGTATGTGGGATCCGAACGCCGGTGTGTATGTGGGATCCGAACCCTCGGCGGGAGCGCTGCCACACTTCCCAAGCGGCGCACTGTAGCAGTGCGCCACCGGGCCGGCCCTTTTTTTTTGTTTTTTTTGTTTTTTTTTTGGTATTGTCTTTTAATTACATTTTCCATGAACTTTTTGAAGTACTCATACCTCCCATACCCCTGCTATGACTCAGGCACGGTTCTAAGCCCCTCACTTACATGAACTTGCTAGTTTATTCCACATGTCAGCCCTAGGAGAGATGCTATTATTAGCTCCATTTTATAGATGAGGAAATGAGACTCAGAGGGGTTAAAGTAACTTGTCCAAGGTCACACTGCCAGAATTCGTAGCATTTTATTTTTACTTATATATATATATATATATATTTTAAAAGATCCTCTCATACATTTTTATTTAGTTTTTTTTTTTTTTTGGTGGTTGGCTGGTGCAGGAATCCGAATCCTCTCTCATACATTTTTTTTTTTTAGGTGACTGGCTGGTATGGGGATTCGAACCCTTGACCTTGGTGTTATAACACCACACTCTAACCAATTAAGCTAACCAGCCAGCCTCTAGTAGCATTTTGTGAAAGGCCCTATAGGTCATGGTGAGGGGCTTTGGCTTGGACTTCATCTTGAAGGCCAGTTGTTCTCAGCTATTGGCTTTTTATCCTTTTCTTGGGGGTCACAGGTCCATTTAATGACTTGATAAAAGTTGTAGACATTCCCAGGAAAATGGGAACATGAACATGCATCTGATGCACAATTTCAGAGGGCTCCTGGATCCTCTGGAGACCTATAGATCCCTGGAGAAGGACCACCAATGTGAGGCATCAGGAGTCACCCAGAGGCTTCCAGATGGGGAGTGACTTGGTGAGGTTTGCATTAAAAAGAAGACTCTGTCTTCTGTGAGGAGTGGGGATTGGAGAGTGAAGATACAGGGCCTGAGACCTGTCACAAGGTTTGTAGCAACAGGTCAGAAAAAAAAAAGTGTAGTCCAGAAGGAAGGTGGCAGCCAAAATGGAGTGTCTCTGAACCTCAGTTTCTTCATCTGTAAAATGGGAGGGTTGTGAGGATTATATGAAGTAATGCATATATATGAAGTGTGTATATGAAATAACACATATAACAAAGTCTTGCCATGTAGTAAGCACCCAATAATTGTCAACTATTATTAATGTGGCCAGCTTACTAAATTGTGCAGCTAGTATTTGACTCCAGGTCCATCTCAATCCATGGTTAACCATGGTGAAATAATGAGGTTAGATTGATCAGGAGTCTCTTCCTCCTGCTCCTCTTCCTTCTCCTTCTATTGTCCTTATGTCCTGGCTTCCTCTCTCCTGCCTAAACAGAGCCCACGAGATAGAAGGGAACAGGAAGAGATTAGCTGCTGGAGTCCTGACAAGATTCTTCCTTTTCTCCAGATCACTGAGACCCAGAAGCTGGGCCTGGCTCTGGCCCTAGAGCCCAACACCACCTTCCTGAGGAAGTCTCTGCAGGCTGCCCTGAGACATCTGGCTCCCTGATCATCTACCAGGAGACCACCCAACTGGAAATCCATCACCAGCTTCCTGAAGGACATTTCTATTGTCACCATCTTGCCCTGACCCCTTGCCTGGGAGTAAAGACTGAGCCTGACCATCCCAGGGACCAATTGCCTCCCTGCGCCAGGCTGCAGAGAGGCCATCTTGGCCTCCCAGCCAGCGGGGGGCTCCTGGGCTAAGAGGACTGAATGAGCTATATTTTCACGGGCTGAAATAATTTATCCGTGGTATTTAATAAAGAGTAGGAAGTTCAATAATGTGTTATTAGAAGCAGTGCCTGCCTTCCCATTAACACTGGGTATTAACCCCCTCCCCTCCACTCCCTCCTCAGTGACAAGGGGCATCTTTTTTCTGGTGAGGGGAAGGTTGTAGAATGTTAGTACTGAAGTTCATTCAGTCACATTCTGTGGGCTGGATCATGTGTGATACCGCCCACCACAGGCCTATCAGAGCTGCCTATTGTGTAGGCGAGGCATGCAGCAACCACTGAGCAGGGGGTAGGTGGAAATGGGGGGCTTAGGTGGGAGTGGCTCAGTCTGGAGTTGCAGCATGGTTTTGGGTGGATGACATTTGAGGAAGGTTCTGAAGGGTTGCTGGGGTTACTGTGGGCTGAGAAGAGGATTTAATCCATTGGGCAGAGGAAGGGGCAGAAAAGACACCTTATGGGTGTGCAGTACATCTTTGTATTCCTATAGCACCTAGCTGTCTGCCTTGTCCATAGTAAACACTTAACACAGATGTTACCGAATCAACTATCAAGTGAAATTTCACTACAGTACCTTCCCAACTCTTCCCCACCTCAGGCGTTGTGGCGACAGGAACAGAATTTTCTTGACACTTCTCTTACCACAACTTCCTCGAAGCCTCGAGTCCCCCTTAGAGCGAGATGATGAGGGAGAGAGGTCAGGTCTAGCCATAAAGCCTGCTTTTAAGAACAAGCTGGTGCGAAGGGCAGGAGGAAATGAGTTTTGAAGGACTAGCATGTTAGAATCACACGTTGTCAGCGGCCGTCACAGTGCTGTACCCAGCACGTGTGCCTATTGAAGCTCGAGCCCTGGATCCAGCCGCTTCCCTAAGGGCCCGGCAGAAGCCGGCACGAATGGGGATATTCGCGGGGTGTCGCGGGGTGCCCTGGATTGCGGCAACTCCGGCGGGTCCTCGCGCACTTCTAGCAGTGCAATGCACTGCAGCGCCCTCCAGCGGCTGCTGACGGCGCCGATCCTCGGGCCGAGTCACCCAACCAACCACACTCCGGGGGAACATAGGAACAAGACCTTTCTCGCGAGAGCAGGGCCACTATTTGAGCGCATGCGCGTATCTGGATAGTCTCTTTTCCGGTTACCGCGGCGCGAGGTACGATGAGGTGAGGTTTAAGGTGCTATCCTCGTCCATCCGTGTCTACAGGTGCCCCGCCGGGGATGGGGAACTTACAGACTAGGTCTGGGGTCCTTGCGCCGGCTTCGCTGCGGGGCCTTTCTTGCCGCGGGTCAGCCTGCGGGTCTCGTTTTCCGCCTGGTCCGGTTCCCAGGAGCGTTCCTCCTCCCTGGGGCTTGGGTCAGTTCCCGAATGCTCGGTGGAACCGTCGTGGGTCCTCCGCCCGTCCCGAAGCCTGGAAACTCGTAGGCCTCGGAGGCTCTTGAGCACGCCGCAGAGGGTGCTGGCCCCGCCGCGGCCCGGCCCTGAGCGCGCTCTTCGCTTCTCTCCCGCAGTAGCAAAGTCTCTCGCGACACCCTGTACGAGGCGGTGCGGGAAGTCCTGCACGGGAACCAGCGCAAGCGCCGGAAGTAAGCGCGGGGTCGCGGGGAGCGCAGGGCCCCGCGGGGTTGGGAAGGCTGGCTGCTGGCTAACTTCGTTACTTTCTCTAAGGTTTCTGGAAACGGTGGAGCTGCAGATCAGCTTGAAGAACTATGACCCTCAGAAGGACAAACGCTTCTCGGGCACCGTCAGGTTGGCATCGTTCTGACCCCACCCAGACCTCAGCGCCCCCGTGCCTGTCCTCCCTTTCCGGCTCTTGCTGGGCCCGAGGCAGGCGCGTGCCGCACTGACGTGCCAGGGTAGTTCAGACCCGCTGCTCCGGGCAGGTGTGGCTGGACGGACCTCCACCCTGGGTCTTAAAACATGAGGGGAGGCGTGGGGAGGCCTTGGCCGAGCCCGCCGGCAAGTCTGAGAAGCCAGACTAGCTGTTGGTGAATGTGGACACTCTGGGTAAGGTTCAGTGGCTGCAGTGATCCCAGACACTTTCAACTGCCCTTGGGACCCAGGGCCGGGCATGACCTGTTCTGTCCCTCAAAACGCAGGCTTAAATCTACTCCCCGCCCCAAGTTCTCTGTGTGTGTTCTGGGGGACCAGCAGCACTGTGATGAGGCCAAGGCTGTGGATATCCCCCACATGGACATTGAGGCGCTGAAAAAACTCAACAAGAATAAGAAGCTGGTCAAGAAGTTGGGTGAGTGTGGCTGGTGTGGTTTTGTGTTTGAGATGGGTGTGGGGGTATACAGTTGTGTATTTGGGAGTGGTGCAAGAGTGGTTTTCTGCTGTTTGGATTTTTAAATGAAATGGAGGTAGAATCCTGAAGGTGAGAGTCTGCTGTTGGTTGGCTGGCCTGAGTGGTATTTTTTATGGCTTATTTTTTGCATTTCCCCTGAGGGTTATATGTTATAAGAGGAAGGCCAGGCCTAGGTTCCATCTAAACAGGTGAGATTCTGTTAAATTGATTATTCAGATGCTGGTGAGTTGTGAATTGGAATTTGTTTCCCAAGTTCCAGTTTGAGTATTCCTTTTTGATCTTTGCCTTGTGTGGTCTAGGCAGTGGTATCAAACCATTTTACGTATAGGAAACCTGTCACAAATTTCACATGCCTAAGACATAGAGCTAGGAGGTGAGAAGGCAGAATTTGAGCCCAGGTGGTCTTGACCAGAGCACCCATTGTACTATTTGTTGCACTGCACTATGGATTGTGGGGTTAGCCTGCTCTTTTGATACTGGGTTTCAGAACCAGTAAAAGTCCAGAAGATAGAGCTACTTGGTAGAAACTACATGGGCATCCAGAAGGGTTAGAAAGACTTGATACCAACAGAGGGTCCTGCTGGAGGTCTGCCTCAGTGGCCAGGTCCTAAACATCTAATGGCTTCCTCTTTACCAGCCAAGAAGTATGATGCG